TCATCTCCCCAGGAGGCAGCTGGATGTCCTTGCAACACTCCTTTGCAAGGGAAGCAGAGTCTGAAGTTTAAACTCATTCTAGTCTTCCAGTCAAGCTGCAGCCTGACCAAGGAAGACCCAACTTCCCAACGTGCCCACACTGGCAGCATTAAGCACCTGCACTTTAGGGGTCTGTCCTGCCTGGTGTCTCTGCCCCACCTTGCCCTGCTTCTCCAGAGCAGGTTCCTGTATCTCCAGAGCATCTCAGCAAGCACTGATGGACCTCCACCTTTTATTTCAGTATCCATGGAAAGCATCTGTTTCTGTCTTCCTTTGCAATTGCTGATTTCTCCTAAACTTGCAGGAAAGCTGTATAAATAAGTTTCCATCATCCTTCTTTGGCTGGAAGAGCCAGGGATGCTGCTGTTACATCTCTACTTTTCAGCTGTTGGCACTGTCCTTGACACATGCAAACGAGCACTGCCCCAACAATCCCACCATGGTTCTGGGAATGACAATGTCCAGGGATGTTCCCAATAAGCAACATGGACAGGGCCACCTTGTTGGGATAGAGTTTACCACAATGGACATCCTGTCCCATTTTCCTCAAGCCTGGAGATCAGGCTATGGCACATTTAATTTCCTGGCACAGACAGAACTCCTCTCCTCCGGTCTCCTGGTGCCTGGGTCAAACCAAACTCAGAAGTCCTCCAAACTCATCCTCTCTTCCACCTCTCCCAGACCATGGGGGATGTCTAACTGGAGGCACTTGCTGTAGTGGTGTCGAGCTCCCAGCTCCACAGGTGGGTTTGGGAGCTGCCTGTTTTCCCTTCCTGGCTGCCAAGGTCCACTGGCAACATCATAATTTGTCACATCTTGCTGATGCATCCCCTCTGGAAGACAAAGAGGCCTCTGCTCTTTGCTGGAGGAGCAAGCACCCTCCTCCTCACCCCAGCCAGACACTGCTGGGGGAGTTGTCTTTCCCCTCCAAACCCACATGAAATGCCCTTTCTGCCAGTCACCAAATCCTTGTCTGACCCCACACCTGCCTCTCCTCCCATGGATCTGCAGAAGCTGGAGCAGGCAGCAGTCATCTACTCCCCCTTGGAGCTCTCGGTGGGCTCTGCAGCCCGTGGTGGGATGGCAGTGCCGTGTGTGAGTGGGCAGCTTCACAGCCCCATGGACCAAGAGTGTCTGCCAGCAGGAGATCACATCCTCTGATCACCCCAGGAGACAGACTGACCCTTCTTCCCCACCACAGGACGGGCTATGGTGTGCTCCATGCTCTTGATGCTGCACAGATCCTCCAGCCAGCAGAGACCTCGCCCTTGCCCATGTCCCAAGGTGCAGGTCATGTCCGTATCAGACAGGGAAACCCAGATGTGAGCAGGCTGTGGGGACACCAGAGCAGGGGCTGGTGGCCACTCTGCCACCAGATTGATCTGAATCTCCTTCCCTCCTGCAGGTCATCAGCAGGGAGTGGGAGAGAGGGAGCAGTGGAGGGGACTGTATAGAGTGGCTCCTTCCTTCTTTGGATTGTTGTCCCTTTTTTCTAATTGTTGCACAATTTTAGGGCTTTTGTAACATTTTTTGGACAAGCAGGGAAAATATGTTAACAGTGGTTTAAGGAAAGAAAATGAGATCTATCTCTCTCTCTTATATATTATATATATATAAAAAAATATATATACTTACAGGAAATCTCTATGGAAATATTTATTTAAGATGATAGCAAAAAATATATTATAATTAAGAGTATACCGAGCTTTGTCACGTAACACAAAATCAAGCCCCGGGGAGGGGTCGCTGCCTGTCCCCTCGTGTCTGTTCGTCCGTACGGTTGCAGCTGAAGCCTTTCTCTTCTCTTTTTGTAAGTGCACTCGAACTGTTGAGCAGTGTGACCGTGTTGGATTCAGTGGGAACTTGGGGTGGGGGAGGATTGATTTTGTTTCCTTTTCCTTTGTCTTTTCTGAACCTGCGGCTGTGAACAGAATGATCACTGCTCAAATCGGATGCTCTGTTTGGGGAGGGCGGTGCGGGCGGGACGGGGAGCGGGGTGGGGCTGGGAGGGAGGGCGAGTGTCAGTTTTATTCTTGGTGTTCAAGTGCAATAAATAGCTACCAACTTCTGAGCATGGAAACGGATGATTCTCCGTCACTGCAGTGACTCAGACCGTCTGCCACCCCCTTGTCCCTCCACCACCACACTCCTGTCCTCGAAAGCATCGAGGCTGAGACCAGGCCTTGGGCAGGGGCTGCAGGTATCCTGCTGCCTGCAGGATGCTGGGACTCTGGACACTGCCCCGCTGGTCTCCAGCATCTCTGGGGTTCAGGGAGCTCAGTGTCCTGCCCAGACCTAGCTCATTGCCATCCAGCCCTTTCCCCAGGGACAGGGCTTTGGGTGCTGCAGGTGTCTGGGAGCCCCCAGCCGGTGTTCAGGATAGATAGGGGGTGCCCACTGGGCAGTTTGGGGGAGTTTAGAGGAAGCTGCTGCTCAGGGTGAGGGGCACAGGACCTCCAGCTGAGTCCAGGGAGGGTTTGGGGGGCTCCCAGGGGCACCTGCTGGGCTTTGCTCATGCAGGTGGGCTGGTACCCCAGGGGACTGGAGTCAGGCTGCCACATTCCCTGTTCCTGCTCCACGCCAGGCCCACCCCAAAGGGGTGCCCCTTTGCCCCCTGTCCCTGCCACCTGCCCCAGCAGGTGTCAGCACTGGAATGTTCCCTCTGCTGCTTCCCCCCCAGCCCCGGGCAGCCACGCATGGCACAGCACACGTGTCCCCTGGATGTGCCACTGCCCCACTGCCTTTTGCCCCTGGTGTCCTCCCTCAGTGCCAGCTTTGCCTCCCAGCCACGTCCCTGGCACGGCCTCAGCTCCATCCCTCCCATCGCTCTGCAGCACAGTGCTGGGTGGTGGCAGCTGCCCAAGGAGAGCCCTGAGGATCCCAGGATCGCAGTGGGGATTTGGGGAATATGGCAGGACCCCATGCAGGTAGGAAAAGCTGAGAAATATCAGAGACTGGACCATCTTGGTCAGCCCAGAGCAGCTTCATGCTGTGGGAAGGCATCAGGTTCTCCTGGTTCTTCTGGTGCTTTGTGGCCAGCAGCACCATCATGAACCCCTGGAGTCCACCAGCCCCCACAGACCCCCGTGTGTGCCCCTCCAGGGGCCACCCAGCCCGGGCTCCCTGGCCAGCCCCACAGCGATGGCTGGGCAACACCGTGACCTCCAGAGGCCTCCTGCTCAGTAAATAGTGTCAAGGTTAGAGCAAGGGATTCATTGGGGCCATAAATGTTTATGGCAGGCCCTCCCCGCTCCCCAGCCGCCGTGGCCTGAGCTTTCCATCAGCCACGCTTTTATGGCTGGACTCTAATGATTAACCCGGGGCCAGCAGGCGAAGGGGCTGTGCTGCCAGAGCCCCACACACCCCGAGCAGCTGGAGCTGGGGACCCCCATCACCCCCACCACGGGCTGCAGCCATGGGGGCTATGGGGAGGAGGACGGGGAAAGCCATCGGGGCTCCTGCAGGAGAAAGGAAAGGCACAGCCATCTGGAAATGGGCTCGACATCCCTGGACAGGAGGAGGTGAGCAGGCAGGAGGAGGTGTAGGAGCCAATCCCACGCTCTTGGAGGGGCAAAGGCAATAATTAAATCTCCTATACTGTGGGGAAAGAAGACTGCAGCCTCCTGACAGAATTCACCCTGGAGGCTCAGGCCACAGTGCCAGACCCAGTACACCAGGAGTATCCAGACACAGACCCTCATTTTTCTTTGTCCTACAGTTTTGTCTTTTACCAGGACAAAGATTTGCAGAAAAAAGGCCAGAAGGAGCTGTGCCCCTCTAGATGTGCATGGGAAGCCCTGGAAGCTCCTCTAGGTGTGCCTTTCTTCCATGCTAAAGACACCCCAAATAACCCAGACAGGGGCTGTGTCACACAGCTATGGGTGAGCTGATGGCACAAGGCACACGTGACACTGGGATGGTGGGGACTGGCAGCATCAGGTCCAAACAGCCTCGTCCAGGAGGTCACCAAGCCCCTCAGGCCAGCAGTGTCAGCAGGAGGTGGGACATGGGCTGATCTACCCCAAAATCACACACAGACACTGAAACCCAGCCCTTCTCCTTTCCCTGGGAAAAGCAGCACTCAGGGCTGGGGTCACACCTCGGATCTCCCTTGGCAACAGACACAGGTCCTCCTTGGACACTGGGTCCAGCTGAAACCTGTCCCTGACCTCCTGCACACCTGAGGGACAGGTTACACCATCTCTTCTCTCCCTTCAAATCACCCCAACCCTGCCAGACACCACAGGGAAGGGCCACCCTGACCCACCAAGGTCCTTGGGGGATCTACAGCCTGGTTTGTTTATAAAGCCTTTTCTTTTATTCTTCTGCTCGTTTATAACTGCTCGTTTATTAGGTCAAATTGCTTTAGGAGGACACTGATTTGTGCTGGTTTTGCTGGAATACCTCTGTGGGATCGGAGCACTCTGGCACACACTGTCCTCTGGGAATGGAGGCTGTTACAGATTCTCTCACACGTGTTTATGGGTTATTGGAGTCAAATACAGACAAACAGAGAACAGATCAACACACAGGAGCTCCTTCTCCTCCTCCCCACCTCCTGCAGCCTGGACATGCCTCCACCCTGGACAACCCTGAGAGGGGACAGCAGGGCTGGGGCTGCAGGTGGGAGTGGGACAGGCGTGACACTTCAACCAGACACTGTCACACAAACACAGGGACTCATCACACAGCTTGTCACACTGAACAGAAGCACATTGGGGACGCCAGGACAGGCAGCAGCTCTGTCCTGGCAGGGCCAGGGTGGTGGTGGGGACCCTGGCAGGGTCAGCAGCTCCTGACTACTCCTTGAAAGACCCCCCAAGCCGTCCTGAAGTGCTGCAGTGCAACCTGTGCAAAATGGGAGGCGAGCTCCCCCCCAGCCTGTCCCTCAGATCATGGACTCCTCCTCGTCCTCCTCCTCCATCTCGCGGTCCACCTCGATGGCCGTGTTCTCGTAGCTGGTGATGCCCCCGTATCTCCTCATGTGCACCATCAGGGGTTTGGGGGACTGGCTGCCAGCCAGGCTGGCCACGTACATGCCGCTGCGGTTCTCCTCCAGGGACGGGCCCCAGTCCATGGCCGGCCTGCTGGCCTGCTGGAGCCGCTGTGGGGGACAGGCAGAGCACAGGCACCCTGCACCCTCCGCTCCCCAGCAGCACCCCACCCTCAGCTCAGCCACCACCGCCAGGGCCCTGCTGGCCCACAGGGACTGAAGGAACCCCCAGTGAGGATGGGACGGGGTAAAAACTTGTCCTGAAAACTTTTGGAGAGGTGGTTCTGTCTAAGTGTCTTGCTGTGGGCTGGGGAGGTGTCATGGTGGTGAGGGCTTGGAGGAGTGAGGGGCTTTTGTAGGGCTGCAGCCCTGTGCTGTGGGGTAGAGCCACTCAGACAAGGGGTTAGCCCTGGCCAAGGTGGCTCCTGGCCATGTCACAGTGCCCATGGCTGTGTCAAGCCAGGTTACAGCCAGCAAGTGCTCCAGCAGGGGATTGCTACCTGGAGAGGGCATCAAGCTCTGCTCCTCTGCTTTTAACAGAGCAGTGAAGGGCTGGGAAAGCTGTGAGCAGCCAGCAGCTCTGTAACCTGCTCCTAGGAGAAGCCTTTCAGGGCAGGGATCCCATCTGGGCTGCCTGCACAGTCTGGCAGCTGCCTGCCTTGCTGTGGCATTGCTCTTGCCAAGTGGGTGCAAAGTCCCAGGTGCCCATGGCCACCCCACAGTGGGGACAATGTGCTTCCTCACAGGGCACAGCAGGCTTGTTTTGGAGTGGGAGTGCACACTGGGCTGCCCCTTGGGAAGCTGTTTGACTCAGTACTTGCCTGGCATCATGGGAAGCAGCACTACTGGAAATGCTTTGGGATGTGTCATCTCTCACACCCCGTGGGTGGCAAGGGGGAATGGGGACACATGCCTCCAGGAGAGAGGATACAGAAACCTCCAGGGATACTGACTTGGCAGGGGCTTGTGCTCCCTGCTGCATATTTCTGGGGTGCTCCCCAGCAGTGTCAGCCCCAGTACCTCCTACCTCCCACAGCGTCCCTTCTTCTTGGAGCACAGCCACCACCATGCCCATAGGAATCATCAGGCAGGAGAGGACTCCCATGAGGATGCCCAAGACCTCTGCCCAGCTGGGGAAGCGGTAGCTGCCATACTCAGAAGGCTGGTACTTGACAATGTTATACACCAGCAGAGCCTGTGGGATGGGGAGAAAGTGAGATCATCCCAGAGGTCTCATGCTCAGAAAAGGCCTGGAGATGATGGACAGCTCCCAGAAGAAGCAGGGAGGTCACCCAGGGGTACTGGCAGCACCGTGGTTTTCCAGCACCATCCAGCAGCTCAAGCTGAGCATTTACCATCATCGTTGCTGGGGACAGGACCATCCAGCAAGCTCTGAAGTAGGGGCCTGGTTTGAATCCCAGCATCATGTGGATATCTCGGCAGAACCTCTTCATGCCTGCAGGAGCGAGAGGGACTCAGAAGCTTTGATCCCTCCCCCAGAGCCTTGTGCCTATAGCAGGCTGCCCTGCACTGATCACAAGCAGTGGTTTGTGTCCTCCACAGCAGTGTCCCCCCACCCACCTGGGAGATGCAGGAGGGGGCCCAGCTGCTGCTGCCTGAAGGAGCAGGCTCAGCACCACTCGTATCTTTGGAGAGGTGAATCAAGTGGCAGCCAAGAAGAAACAGGTGGTGGGAGCAGTCTCATGCTCCACTGTGAGGCTGTTGGTTTCCCTACTGCTCCCTCTAAATCCTCCTCCATACAGACAGCACATCCTTCCCTGTGCCCCTGTGGGGACAGGCAGCCTTACCATAGACACGTGTCACCACAAGGCAGGTGGTGATCACCACCACCATGAGACCAAAGCCAGCACTGTAGTCATCCAGCAGGACCAGCCAGTACATCCCACCCTGTGGGGACAAAGCACAGAGGCCAGCATCTCCTGGACCATCATCCTAGCAAACCTCCACCCGTGTCCTCTGACTTTTGGGGACCCTGGGGAGGACAGCAGTCAGCAGCCTCAAGAGACATCAGTCTCCTTATGGGCTTGGTGTAGGAATGGGAATGACACCGTGTCACTCCCCTTGGCCCTCACACCTTCTGCAAGCCCAGGCTGTCTCTCTCTTTCACATGGTTATGTATATGAATATACATGTGAAAACTTGTCCCCTGACCTAAGTTCTCCCTAAAATGAGCCCTAGTTGGTCCCCACCATGGGGCCACCCCCACAGCCATACCTCTGTGGTGAGGATGAGCCCCATGAGGAAGAGGGCGATGCAGATGGCAGCTGAGAAGGAAGCTTTCTTGGGCCGCAGGTAGTAGGGGAATTCGTCTGTCACTGCCGTGACGATGGTCTCCATGAATGCAAACTGCAGCAGGAGAGGGTGCCCTGAGCCCTCAGGCTGCCTGGAGTCCACGGCTGTCTCCGTGGGCTCTGTCCTTACCTGGCTGTCCAGGCCCAAGGTTAACAGCATGAAGAAGAACAGGAATGACCAGAATGGAGAAAGGGGGAGCATTGTCATGGCCTGGGGGTACACCACAAAAGCCAGACCAGGACCTAGGGGAGGCAAAGGACAGCAGGGTGAAAAGGTGGTGACAGAGCTGGGCATGGGGGGATGGAGGAGAGGAGAGCCCAGCAGAGCAGCACCATGGCAGAGACTTGCCAGGACTCTGGCAAGATGGGCAGGAGGTGGCAGAGGGTGGAGAAACAGCCTGTTCCTTGCTCACACCTTCATTAGACATCACTTGTTACTCAATATTTGCACCACAGGAACTTATCTGCCCCCTCCCCTCCCCCTGGCCAGCTGAGCATCCACCTTCATCCCTCATGCTGACACCCTCAGGCACCTTCCATCCTGGAAGGGATGTCCCTCAGCACACTCAGGCAGAGGGAGAAGGGGCAAACATCTTTGTTTGGCCTCACCTGCTTTTGCCACCTGGTTAACAGGGACCCCCAGCTCCTGGGACATGTATCCCAAAACAGAGAAGATGGCAAACCCCGCCAGGATGCTGGTGATGGCATTGCCCAGGGTCACTATGAAGGTGTCCCTACAGAGAAGGAAGAAGATGCTCTGAACACGCTCATTCCTTCCCACCCCACACAGCGCACGGTGGCATTGCCAGCCCCAGATGCCACAGTAAGGTGACCCAGTGACTGTCCTTCAAGGCCTCTCATGCAAGTGCTTTCCAGGGTCAAATGGAGCATGTGTTTAATGGATAATACTGTGGGGTTCCTCTAAAGCTTTCTGTCCCCTGTGAATGGGGTCAGACCAGAGGTCACCCCTCTGTCTTTCAGTGAACTACACTGGATGCGGGGCACAGGGCACACATGCACAACTCCAGCCTCAAATATCCTCAGCTTTCAGCACCTACAACCCAAAATGTCTGAGCTGGGTGCTCTGCCTTGGTGCTTAGGAGAATCCCTCTGTTCTTCTCAAGCCTGTACAAACTGCCAGGAATCCCCTCAGTGCAAGGAGCAGAGCAAGGTCACTGTGCTGCACCACGGGCTTCTGCTGGCTTTGAACCCACCAGGTTTTCACAGCTCCCCACAACCCATAATTTTTACAAGACAGCAGCTGAGTCCCACCTGTAGATATTCTGATGGAAGGTGTTGTACGAGGCGAAGGTGAGGAGGCCCCCAAAGCCCACCCCAAGGGAGTAGAAAATCTGCAGGGCTGCCTCGATCCACACCTGGGGGAAGGAAGCAGTTCTGAGGAGAGCAGGGGTTTGGAATCCTCCACATGATGAAGATGACATTAGAAATCTGCTTCCCCAGAGCCCTGGGCATGTCTTCCCCAGCACTCCAAGCATGCACAGCTATGGGATATTTGTCTTGTTAACACTCACCTCTCATAGTGGATCAGCTGGCTAATGGAAGGGCTAATAAGAATGTTTTAGGGCCAGCCCAGTGTGGCATTAAATGCTGCTGTAAAACTGGGTGGTCTCTGGATGATCATCATTGCTGACCCCCACTCCACATGCTGGGATTTCTTGAGAACCACAAACACTCAAATCCACCATGGGCACCCATCAGCCCTTCACAGGGCTGGGATGATCCTGCCCTGGTCCTGCTACTCAGGGGAGTCTTGATAACATCCCATCCATGCAGAGCCATAACCACATGCAGAGGGTGGGGACACATGGGAATAATGGCCTAAACAAGGTGTGGGACAAAGATTTTTGGTCTAGGAACAACCAAGAGAGCTTTAGACTAGGGTGTGGCCAGAAAAGACACCTGAGTAAGGGAACAGCCTCTGTGGCATTCAGGAGGTGGCAGGAGAAATTTCATTTTTGTGTCTTGAAAAAATTGCACATCCTACTCACCTTGGAGGACAGCAAGTGATCAAACTGGGGTGTGAGGTAAAACTGGATCCCCTTCCAGGCCCCCTCCAGGGTCACGCCACGAATGAGCAGCATCACCAGGATGAGGTACGGGAAGGTGGCAGTGAAGTACACGACCTGTGGGAGAGCAGAGCCAGCAGGGAGAGCTGGGAATGGGAGCACAGCGTGAGTGCTGCCCCCACACCCTGTCCCTAGGGTGGGACACATCACCCTGGGGTCCTTGGGCTGCAGCAGGGCTGGTGTGCCAGCCCTGCTGGTGTCTGGGTGTGCAAGGCATCCCCAAAATATCTTATACCCAGCAGATGCTGCTTTTGGGTCTCACTTTGCCAGTGGTGCAGAGGTGCACACACCGGTGAGCATTGCTGTAGGTCCCCCCAGAGGAGAGCAGCCAGCCCTTACCTTGCCAGAGGATTTGACTCCTTTAAGGATGCACAGATAAACAATAGTCCAAGAGAGGAGCAGGCACAGACACAAGTTCCAGCGGATCCTCCCAGGATCCCCAATCCCCGAGCTTCCTTGGATGTGCAGGACATACCGGCTAGGGAGGAAGGAGAGCTGCTAGTGAGCATGGGCTGCCTTCTTCCAGAGGCCCTCTGACCCTAGAAATGCCTCTGCCTCAAAATGACCTTGTCAGCTATCACAGACACTGGCAGATCCTTGCCAAGCAAACAGGAACACTCGGAGTGATTTCTCCACCACGTATTAAAGAGCCCAGAAGAGAGAGCATCTCGAGAGCAAATTGCCAGCCATCCCAGACGTGGGATGCATTTTAGTCTAGCATATCTCCAGGCCAACAAAGCAGCGCTAGAACATGGACACCTCCCACATGCCAGTGGCTAAACTGAGCTGTCACCCAGAGCTGAGCACGCGAGCCCATCGCTGCACCCACGCCACCCCGCTGAGTGAGACCTGCAGCATCTGTGCTGTGAGCTGTGCACATCCTCACCCCCCATGCCCTCCCTGTCCTCCCCCTGGCTAGATACCAACCACAAGCCCAGACCTGACTCAGGCTGCCCTCGTTACCTCCAGTACTCCTCGCTGGGGCTGACGGTGTTGCTGATGTTGACGGGGAGGGAGCTGTTCCCCGCCCTGAGGACGTGGTGGTCCAGGCACAGGTCAGTGTTCCACCAGTTGCCACAGTGCTGCCAGGGCAAGTCGCTTGTGAGGGATGCAAAGAGGTAGAAGAGAACGTAAGCAATGATCATATTGTAGTAAATGGCCACCAGGGAGACGATGAGGATCGTGCCCATGCCAACGCCTGAAGGAAGGAGAGGGTAAAGAAGGAGTGAGCTGGAGCAGGGAAAAGCACATCCAAAAGCAGGGTCAGACACTGCACCTCAGCAGCCAAATGATCAACCAGTCCAAGGTTCACCTGCTGGGGGAGCCGCTTATTGCCATTATAACATCTGGACATGCCTTCTCTGTATTGGTGATCTATTGCCTCATACAGAAAACTTTACACCAGCCTGATGTTGAGAATAAAAGTATTTGATCTAAGCTTTTTTTTTAAAATGCTTTATTCTTACCTTTGTTTTTAACAGGTATTGGTTAGATTTCATGCTCTATTTTGTACCAGAGCTGGCTTAATAATCTTCATACCATTTCTAGAGTTGGCCATGCCACCCAGAGCCCTCAAAGACTGACCAATCTCATGCAGCTAATAAACCAGCTAACTCAAAATTCCAGCCTGCCACACCTTCCCCCCAGGTTCCTTTGATTCTAACAAGAGCTTTGAAGACCATGGGATGCTGCTGCTGGTGCATGTCCTCATCAAAGAGCTCTTGCAGAGGCCCCTCAGAGGCTCTGGACTTCACTCACGAACCTTTAAAGAGGGGGCTGATCTTCCAGACTGCGAGTGGCCCCAGGCTGGAGAACTGGCCAAGTGACAGCTCCATGAAGAAGATGGGGATCCCACAGATAGCCAGCATGATGAAGTAAGGAATCAAGAAAGCTCCTGCAAGAAGAAAAAAAAAAAAATCTTGAAATTAATACAGAACAAACACCTAAAGCCTTAATGTGAGACGGAATAAAGCTCATTCAATATGTGTGGCTCTGAGGGATCTACATCAAAATCACGAAGAGAGGGAGGAGCAAGAGCTCTCTGTTAGTGTGGGAGAAAGGGGCTGTGATTCACCTGGTGCTGTGCTTCCCCACTGCTCCCAACTCTCTTTTCTCTTTGACTCTTTCACAAACACCATGAAATTCTCCAGTTATTATTGCTCTGGGAGGAGTTGAACCAACATTTTGTACCATCACCCAGGGCTCTTGCATTGCAAAAGGTTCACTCCCTCCTTTGGTAGCTGGGAGGGGTTTGCTGACCCTACTGAGTCCTGGGGGACACCAGGAGAGCTGGTGTTTGGTTCAGCATGGAGACAGGGGTTTGTCCACGGCCAGGAATACAGAGATGGGCTTGCAAATCCCTTCCACACATGGATACAGGTGCTTAAAACCCAAAACAACCATGGGGAGGACAGGAGGAGGCTTCACCCTGCAACAAGTGCTACTTTCCAGCCCCAGGAAGGGGAAGGGATGTTTCTTCAGGGATATTCTACCAGCCCAGGTCAATGGGTGGGAGAGTGACCACTGCAAAGGATGCCCAAGTACCTCCTCCATTGGTGTAAGCCCTGTAGGGGAACCTCCAGACGTTTCCAAGGCCCACGCAGTACCCGATGCAGGAGAGGAGGAAATCCAGCCGCCCTGTCCAGTTCCCTCTGTCCTCGGGGCACTCGGAGCCCAGCTCCCCATCCTGGCTGCTGGGGCTTACCAGGAGACCTGGTGGCACTGGCTGAGTGAGGGACCAGGGTATGGGAGAGGGCAGACAGGGGTTGAACAAGGAATAAAAACAGAGAATGAAGGAGGGAAGAGAGGGAAGAAGCACCAAGAACTCGTGAGTGAATTTGTGACCCCAAGCCTTGACAGCATTGACACTTGTCCCCTGGGAACATCCTGTCCCAGCAGCTCTCTGTTCCCCACCTCAGCCACTGCCCTGCTCTGCCACTGAGCAAACAAAAAGGATAAATGTGATCCCACGTGGCCAAAGCTCTCCTGGGAAACATGGGATTGTCCCAGTTCATTCTGGGAAGGTTCACCAGGACCCAGCTCACAACCCCAGGTTCCAAAGACATCCATTCACAATAAACTTTCTGCACCTCCTGCAGAATACAGGCACGAGGGCAGTGGGAGAAGCACTGTGGGGTGCCAGGGGGTGTGACACCCAGCCCCACGTGTGTGCCCTGCCAGGCACACTGCTGTCTGTCCCTTATTGCTCCCTGCATTTTTCACACTTTTCCAACTGCCAAAAGCCTGCACTGTGGGAATTCAGTGATACTCCCAGTTGTCCCTGCAGAGAGATGAGAGACCTCCTTCTAGAATTCCTAATGTGCTCTGGATCAATGCAGCACAGGCAGGGCATTAACCCTTTCCCTTCCTCCCCACTGCCTCAGCCCTGCAAGTGGAAATGCGAGTCCTGCAATCCATTTGGGCTGGGGTGATGCACCAGGAGGGCACCTCTGTGTTTGTATGGGTGTACATCAGGTTTGCAGGGAGGTGCTCAGTCTGAATTCCCCCAGTTTCCTGACCTCAGGAGAGCAGGGAAAGCATCCCCACTGACTCCAGAGCTGAAGGCCTGAGCCAGCAGCTGCCAGATGAGATCCCATCACAGATCCACCCACAGCAAAACCAGGCAGCACAGAGGGCTGGAATGAGGGTCCTGTCCCTGTGCCACCCTGTGCTGCTGTGCCCTGGTGTGGGAGTTTGTCATGTTTGTATCGAGGCACAGGAGGATTCTGCTGTCCCTGCTGACAAGGTACCAGGACCAGGGCCAGAGGAGCTCATATGGGAACCTTCTCTTCTTGGGCTCTCTGAAGAAAAAAAGCAGCCATCTCCCTGTCCTTGCTCATAATTGTAGGGAACAAACCCTTGGGATGTGGTTGAGGAGAGGGACCTGGCGTGGAGGGATCAGCCAGGAGCTGTGGGGCTGCTGTACCAGTGTGCAGCAGTGCTCAGAGCCTGCAGCAGGTGCCTCACCAGCCAGGCCCCAGGAGCCAGAGCTGGCTGGTGATCAGGGCTCAGTGCTGCCCTTTCTCGGCCTCGGGGAAGGCGGCAGCCACCTCCTCTCCTCCTCCAGTCTCCAGCTGGACTGGACTGGAGGATGCTCCTGCTGCTGGTTCCCATGGAGACACCGAGCACGATGCTGAAGGAGAGGGCTGCCAGCTCCCCCCTGCTCAGGGTGCACCCCAAACCCCAGCTGCTGCCACTGCAGACAGGCTGCTTGCAGCCCAAAGGCACCAAACACAGAGACAGACTCCTCCCCAGCCCCACCTGGAGCACAAACACCTCGAGGGACAGGACAAGGGCAGACTCTTCTCAGAGCCAACATGAAATGTACAGCTCCACCAAAGCTGTTACACCAAAATCCTCTGTGAAAAACCCATCCCTGCTGGATGCCGCCGTCACAAGGCAAGGGCCAGAAGAAAAAGTTGCAAAAACACAGGCTGAAAAGTCAAAATATGACCCAAAAGTGATCCTGTTGCTATAAAACCAGCAGTACCTGGCAGCCCTCCTGCAGTGGCTCAGCACAGCTCTGTGGTTTAGCAACACCTCCAGGCCATGGCCGTACCTGCTGATTAGCCCAGCACCTCAGTGTGTGACCCACAGCTGTCTGTGCTTGCAGGGGATGCATGGGCTGCTCTGAACTCCCTCCCAGAGATTTCAGCAGCTCAAACCTGTACTCACAAAGCTCCCTGCCAAGTAGGGGCCATTACAGCTGGGTCTTCCCTCTGCAAAATACTGTTTCCCTGTCCATCACATTGGCTGGGGAGCTCTTGTTTTCCAGATTTGAATCACAGAAAACCAGCAAGCAGGGATGCTGGGAGATCATTAAATCCTGTTGCCTAATTCCTGCATCTCTGTGTGAATCCCAAACACCTGCAGGAGGGCACAGGTAGAGCTGCAAAATCTCATTACATGTGGGTTCCTATCCATGAGATGTAGCACAGAAATCAACACAGAAACAACAACAGGAAATGAAAGGAGCCAGTGGGGCCTTGTCCAAACTGTAAATGGCCTGGTCCCTGCCTGAGTCACCATTTCAAGGGCCATGGGATGTAGTTTGTCACTTGTGTCTCAATAATGACTGCCCCCCACCATTAATATCTTTATCTGGAGCTCCACAGCTCAAATTTAGGACCCCAGAGCAGAAAGCAGGGACCACCCAAATGTCAGATAAATCCAAAGGACAATGGCACTTGTCCCCATTGGGCAAGGTGAGGAGATACAGGTCAGGGATGCTGCTGGAAAACACACACAAAGGCAATGCTCAGAATTCCCCCAAATCTCAGCCTTTCCATCGAAATCACAGAAAAACCCCTGGCCTATTTGCTTGACTTGAAATGAATTACAAAGCACAATATTTAAGGCTTCCAGCCCATCCTTGTCCCAAATCTCAGAGGGAAGCAAACCTTCCTTCTCCTGACTGCTGGAAATCTCACACACCAGCTTGATTCTAGAGCTTTTATTTTAGGTTTAATGCTCTCTTTCAGCTTCTGTCATAACAGAAATTCTCTTTTCAGCCGCAGCTGAAGTGCTCCAGTGCTCCAGTGTTGCTCTAGTGCTTTCCACCATCAGCTGCCATCCTTCAGGCCAGGCTCCCGCCTTGCTGCTGTAAACAGACAGGGATCAACAGCTCCCTTGGCAACCACGGCCTCTTTGAACACAGCATCCCTTCCCATTATTCACCAAAAGATGCTCCCAAAGAGTCAGCAAAGCAAAGGTCACCAAGAAGAAAAAGCACTTTAGTCTCTGCCAAGATAAGAGCTCGGGTCTGTAAGGAAATGGCTCTGTGCTAATTATTTTCTCTAAACCAATTTGCTTAAACCAAAACTCAGCTGTATCTAAAGGAAAAAACTCCAGCCAGATCAAAGGTATGTTTTCATCCTCTTTTGTCTCCATTCAAGCTGGCATTGTGGGGTTATTTTGTCAGTGTTTTGTGCGTGATCACAGCCTTTGAGCAGGAGAAATGCCACCCGGCACCAGATTTCTCCCCTGTGGATCTGAGAACAGTGAGTCTCTAAAGTGTGAGTCACTTCAGATTAGTTTGAATTGCTTGCTAATCTCTGAGAGAAAAAAAAAATCTTAAAAAGGCATAAAAATTAATTCAAATGTAATATGACTTACAAAGTGAAGTAAATAAAGCACTGCTATGGTGAGGAAGAGCCCCCCTAAGGGCTGAACTGAGCCTGGGTGACCCCAGCCCGGGGTCACAGCTGATGCCATCAGAGGGACCAAGTGATGGCAGAGCCAGCACAGGGAGGCTGGAGATGGCTGGGGCTGATACAGCAATGTCCAAAGTGTAGGGGGCATGCACAGACACAAATGCTTGTGGTTTTTCATCTGAAACCCTGGGGGAGTTTTGAGGCAGTTTGTGGCAGGCAGAGGAGGGCACTGGCTCAGGTAGGAAGATGCTGCTCAGCAGCCTGGCCAGGTATGGGAAGGGACAGCAGGATCCATGGCTCCCACCAGTGGGACTTAGTCCATTTCTACCAAATAAACCCCAAAGAAAATAACCAAATAAATGAAAACAACACTCAGCTCTTCTGGAGCAAAAACCAACCTGAAATCCTTAGAGCCTGAGAAAGGTCTTCTCTAATCAAGAGCTATTTCCATTTGTCTAAAATATGTCTGGTAAGAAGAGCTTAAAACTCCAGCTCACCAATGGGAAATGGGTGACAATGAGAGGAAGAGGAGGCTGCCAGGGTCCTGGGTGGGTGCTGCAGTGGGGATGGGCACATCTCTTCATCAGCCACCACCAGCTCCAGGCAAGCCCAATGCCAGCGTTGAGCACAGTGCTCCCAAGGTGGCTGTGAGCACCAGCTCCTCCATCTGCAGCTCAGCAATGGTATTTTTGTATTTTTGGGTAATGAAGGACAGAGGGCTCTGAGCAGCACTGGGGATGGGGTGAATAACTCCAGACATCTGCTTTCCATCCCAACTGATCACCATGGGACTAAGTGAATTCCTGAATAAATGCTAAAGAAGGTCACCAGCATCAAGTGGCTCAGAAAGGCATTGGAAGGGGCAAAGACCACTTTTAATGGTTATTGCAGTCACAAAGCCATCTGGAAAAGCAGTTTGTAGGAAAGAGGAAGAAAGAGAAGAGCTAAACAAGATGCCTCCAAACAAGAGTGGAGAAATAGGCTGTCAGGGCCTGCTGGCTGTCACCAGGATACTGCTGGGGTTTTTTACGTCATTTCCCAATGCCCTAGGAATTTCCTGGCAGGGATAAAACCCTCCTGGGTTCTCATTCATCTCAACAGAGTCAACCTGCCCTGTGTTCCATGGGCATGGCTTGGCACAGGGTGTAGCTGAAGAGGCTCCCAGCCGTGGGGCACTGCCTGGGGTGCTCCAGGGAGCAGCAGCACATCCCCATAATGGAGCTGTGGCTGGCACTGTCTCTGCCACCCTGCCACCCTGCTCCACTGAGTCCCCAGACTCAGTTCCCAGTGTGGGGGGAAATGGGAGCTCAGACTGGCAAGAGCAAAGTGGCAATGGAGGAGAGCCTAGGATGGGAGAGCCTGACAGCTGGATTAAAAAAGGGTTTCTGGCAGGATGTAAAAAGGGTTTGCTGTTCTGCCAGCTCTGCTCCGAACCCAGAGTTCAGCATCCAGCTGACCCCACATCACCCACACCCTTTCAATCCTACGGAGGAGGATGATGAGGGGGAGGATGAGGAGGCAATCCGAGCTGCAGGTGGGAAGGCACTGCCCAGCCCCTGCCCGCGGGAGGGACCCCGAGCCCGGGCAGTGCTGGGGCTGCTGGCAGCGGCGCTCCCGGGGTGCCAGGCTGCGGGGAGCCAGCTCTGCCCCCGGTGCCACCCACGGCGCCGGGCCAGACACAACACGAGCCACCCACGGCCGGCAGCGCCTGCTGCCCGGGAGGGGAGGGGGCAGCGGTGCCTCGGGAGGAGCGGTGGGCACAAATGCCCCATCCCGCTGCCCACCATCCCGCGCACCAGCGCTATTCCCCAATATCCCACTGAGCCCTGCCGGCTGCCCACGAAGGCTCCCGAGGGCGGGATGCGGGGCCACGGGCATCACTCCCCGCTCCCACCCTGGGTTATCCCCGCTTCCTCTCCCAGCCTGGGGTACCCTCGCTCCCGGCTGTCACCTGCCGCGGGTACCCCTGGTCCCCTGCTCCTCTCCCTGGAGCATCCCCGCTCCCGGCTCACCTTCCGGAGATGCTGCTGCCGAACCTGCTTCATGCCGGACCCTGTTGCTATGCGCTCCCACACTTTCCGTCTCGCTCCCTCCGGCGCCGGGAGGGCGGAGGGGGAGCGGGGCAGCGGCGGCCGGCACGGAGGGTGGGCACGCACCTGCCGCCGGGGAGAGCCGGGGACGCGGGGAGCGGGGCTGGAGGAAAGGTTTGCCTTGAGAGGAGGATGGCTGCGTGCGGAGCAGGGAGGGAGGAGGGAGGTCTGTCTGTCAAAAGCACTCCTGGCGGGGAAAGGGGGGCTCCGGGACCCCAGACCCCCACCCGGGCAGCGAGGGACAACAGCTGCCACCTCACTCACGCCACGAATGCATCAGGTGTCCCTAGAGAAGGACCTGACCTTGGGGTCACTCTGTCACTGAGCACCCCATGTAGTGATGGCTGCAGATGCCAGAAGCTCACAGCACCTTCCTGTCCGGTTCTGAGATTATTTTCCTGTGGCAGGACACAGCTGGATCTTGAGCAGATGAGAAGTGATTTTTCCCCATGCTGCCTGAGCCCAGCCCTCAGTCCAGGGGAGGGGGATGCTCCAGAGCCGCCAGTCCCTTTGGGTAGCACCAACACATCCCACCACACCGAGGGCAAGAGCAATCCTTGGGCAGTGCCCAGGGCGAGCATCTGAGCCCAGCACACCATGGCCCCCGTGCTGGAGCACAGGTCACATCCCCAGGGTCCAGATGTCCCAGTTTGAGTCAGCAGTGGGATACTGGGGCCTCAGTGTCCAGGGAGATGCTGGCTTTTCACCCTCATACTCAGTCAAATTCCCAATGAGGTGGCAGAGCTGGTCTGTGGAAATGGGAGAAGAACAACCCCACATGTTCTAGGGCCAGTGTGGGACCAGGACAGCTCTGGACTCCCAGTGGGACTCTTTCCCATGATAATATCCTCTTGTCCATCACTTCATCCCTGGACTGTGCCCAGTGCTCTGACGCTGGATGTGTCCCTTCTCCTTGCAAGTGCTCTACAGGCTCCAGCCTGAGCCACACTTCTGCCCAGATGCTTTACTGAGGCTTAAGGTGAGTGGGGATGAGGAGGACAATGACAGGGCTGGAACAGAGAGAACCCGGCCTGACTGATATAAAAGCAAATATCCAGGACATCTAATGGCAGTTGTGCTCCTACAGCCCTCTAAGCACTTCTGAAAATTTTCCCTGAAAGGAAAGGTATTCTCAGCACAAAGACACATTTCTGCAGGAATCCAACATGATGAAGTGGCTCAGCATTTGCACAATGGGTCTTTTAGAGCTAATATTTACCTGGATTTCCCAGAGAAAAAAAGGAAAGATCAAAACTAGATAACCCATAAAACATCTCTTTTCACACACTCACAGCTTCCTCAAAAATAAAAGTATCTTTGGGAATTCACTCAGGCTGGTTTTACCTGCCTTGGACTTGCCCACCAATTCTCCATCTCCCAGCTGCTGGCTGGGAATGCTGAGCCTGGAGCTGGCCAGGCTGATGGCCAGGGGCTGCATCAAGCACTGCTCCTACCTTAGCCTTGTTTGCCTTTCATGCCAGTGCAATCTGGATCAGAGAGCCTGGGCCACCTCATTACAGCTGTCCCAGCCCCACCTCACCAGCATGGGCTGATCTCTGCCAAGCCATTCAGCATCCCTGGGCAGATTTCATGGCCTCGCCTTCTTGTGTCCAGGGCAGCATTTATAATTAGAGACACCCAGGCCTGATGGTGCCCTGAAATGTCCATGTTGATGTCCATGTTCTTCTGGGATGCTCTGTACCTGGAACTCGCTCCTCTGGTTTGTCTGGTGCTGCTCTGGTGGCACCAGCAGCTCCTCATGGCCTGGGATCACCAGGGAGTAGATGTCCCACCCCAGGGGCCTGGGATGTTTCAGCTTAGCATTGCAGGGCTGGACCAAGTCTGGCATTGCCCTGGAGCTGGCTAGAAATGCACTTCATGGAACAGCACACACCAGAGGCAGAAACAGCCAGGAGCAGTGCAATCTAGGGACCCCCAAAACCCCAGGAGAGCACAAGGATGGGCACAACTGCTCCCATGCCCTGATCCCCAAGGAGATGGCACTAGGTAGCACACACAGGGCTTGCAAGCATTTCCTAGCAAGTTTTGTTTTCTCCCACTCCACCTCTGAGCCCTGCTGGGACACCAAGTAAACCTTTCCCTTCTCACGGGCCAGAGCACAGCACACATCCTCCACCCCAAAGCAGCACTGACAGCCACTGGCACTGCCAGCTCTTTGTGACTCTGGAGGGCAAGGAGAGGGCAGAACTCAGGCTGGGGAACACCCCTGCCCACCCTGCCCAGGCAGCCCACACAGATCCGGGTGGCAGCCGCCTGGGAAGGGCTGAGAAGGCGGCTGGCAGCAGGATGGGACCGTGCCCAGACGCGAGGAAGGTGGCAAGGCAGCGGCGCTCTGGTTAGTCACTGCTGGGACGTGTGCCATGCTGGAGGCTGCTGGCAGCACATCCCTGCTCGGCCACATGCTGTGCGTGGCTCTACTTTGGTGATGGTTTCAAGATTTCTCCAAGGAGGGGTAAAGCTGGGCAGTGGGAGATGGTGGAAAGTGCAGAGGGAGGAGCAGAGAAAAACTGTAGGAACTTGTAGAGGACAGCCCCCAGGGTCCCCTGGCTACGAGGGCAGGCTGTTCCCATAAGGGCCAGGCTCCATGTGGGACATGTGACTCGGGAGGCAGCTGCTGCAGGTGCTAGAACCAGGTGTTTGTCACCTGCCAGGGGTGAAACCGCCAAGGTGACACGTGTCCAGGAGGTTTGAACCAAAGGTTCCAAAGCTGGTGGGGACATGGTGTCCACCAGTGCCTTTCCTGGCACAGGGAGGGCCCTGCACAGTTCACCCATCCCTGCCCAAACGGCAGATGCAGGGCGCAGGGGAGGACATGGGAGGGGGAGCAGAGCAGATGCATTTCGTCACCCGGTCAAGGGGCGTGTGTGTGTGTAGGGGGAAGGGGTGGCTGGGTGTGTGGGTGCATTTATTGCCTCTTCCCGCCAGCGCCGGCTCCCTGTGCACACACGGGTGGCAGGGACCCAAGGGCACAGCCCACAGCTCCCTGGACTTTTACCCTGCTGTGCAAACAGGCAGGCGCCAGATTAGGGTATCAGTTGGAATTTCATCTTGTCAACAGCGCCCGCAGCCTCTCTGAGCAGGCAGTGGAGCATCTTCCCTCTGCCCCAGCCCCTCACCTCCCTGCAGGCCACCCAACACTGCAGGTGGACTTGGGAGATGCACATTTGTCCCCCACCAGGACTGCTGTCTGTGGGCTCCCCCTTGCAGACAAGAGTGATGCCCAGTGCTGCCATCACCCCTCCCTGCCAGGGCAGGACCCCGCTGCTGGTCTCCACGTGGCAATGGCAAAATTGGGCATTAAGGGCAGCCAAAGCCCAAGGAGGGAGGATGAGTGTGGGGGAGCCAGCCCCCACTGTGGGGACCATGCTGGAGTCTGCACACAGAAGCAGCTCCAGTTTCCCCAGTCCAGCCCAGCTCTTCAGGCAGGTGGCTGGTTCAGCCTCATCCCTTTCCTGTACAGCACCAGCTCCATTGCATTTACATCCCCCTGCCTGCTTTAGTTCCTGATTCCCCACGTTTCCTTGCAGGGGTGCATGAGGTGTTTCTCCTGTGCCATGGGCAGCCTGCCACCATGCTGGTGAGTGCAGGGTCACCAGGGTGCAGCAGTAGGTGCAGCAGTAGGTGCAGTGTCTGTTGCAATTGCAGGAACAAACACTTTGCTCTGTCCTTCTCTCAGCAATGCCACCTCATCCTGTTCCCACTCCTCCATCTCCTCCACCCATGAGGACTTTATCCTGCTTCAGGTGTCCTTCCACATCCAGCTGCCCTGCCCTGGCACCTCAACACACCCCATGCAATGCTTGGCACTGGGAAGAGCTTTGGGGCTGGAGGAGCCATTTGGGGCAGGGATTCGAGGGCAGCTGCTTGCAGCTGCTTGCTCAGTGTTCTGCTAGATGAGGGGAGCACTGATGGGATGGAGAGGGGAGAGTGTCAGGCACCAATGCCAGCTGTCCCAGGCACTATCTCACATCCTCATTCTCTGTTTATTCATCTTGGACAAGGAGGATATTCAGCCCATCGACAGCCATAAAATGAGATTAGAGACCAGGAGGCGCCAACGGGAGGTGGCCACATCCGTGGGCAGCTGGCCTTGTTCTTTGGCCTCTGCCAGCCCAACAATGGCCTCACCCTCTCCCCTCTGCCTCCAGTGCTGCGAGTTTGCAGCCATCGTGTCTGCCATCCCTCTTGGTGCCAAAGGAATGAGACGTGGCAGTGATATGAGCCATGCCACTGCCAGCAGTGTCCCTGTGGGACAGGCACACTGTGTGCAGCAGGGACAAGGCTGCTGCACCTTCCCAGCCCTGGCTGTGCCCAGGAGCATCAGCACCAGTGCGACCCCAAAGCCAGCATCGTCCCCTGCCACACCACCACAGGCAGGAATGACAGCCACAAACCTGTGTCACACAGGATCCCTGCTTGGTTTTATTTTCACCAATGCCTAAAAAATAAAAAGGAAAACCAGTTCTGCCTTATATACACAAAAACTGAGCTGAAGTCCTGAGCTGATGCAAACATTTGTCCTCATCACCGAGCGCACCTGGCAACAGTGGCCGTGGGAAGTGTCACTGGCAGGAGGGAGAGCCAAAGCCTTTGAGGGCTGGAGCAGAGCAGTGCATGCAGTGGGATAACAGGGACACACTTGTAAAAGCCACAGCACACCTGGGGACTTTGTGTTCTGGGGGCTGGGATGGTGGGGGCTGGCAGTGGACGGTGTGGCCAAGGGATGCGAGGCAGCAGCAGTGCCAGGTGGGATGTGAGGTTTGACTGGGTGGTCTTCAGGCAGTGACGTGTCTACTGCTCCATCCTCCCAGAGCTTGGAGAGAAAATGCTGAGAAATGTCACACAAGTCATACAAGGCTCATGCTCCCTCATCCCTTCTTGGTCTTCCTAACTGCAGCTGAGGAGCACGTGGTGCAACCTGAGAAGGAACTAGAGACTCTCCTGTGCCCCAGCTGTGCCCCACTGGCCTTTGGGGTTGCTGAAACTGGGCTGTACATCAACCTGGGGCTGTACAATGGTCAAGACTCAACAGGATAAAGGGATTTCCCAGCTGAAGTTCACCAGTAGGAATGGATGGGGTTTAGCTAACTGGCCTAGGGAACACAGTGGGTGAGGAGTGCAGTGCATGGAGGAACAGGGAGACAGGGAGGACAAAATCTGTAGTCCTGTAATCTGAATTTTAAAGAAAATAGGAAAATAAATGCTTCTTTGTCTTTCTGAAAACCACCTCTCCATCACCTAACACCAGGGCACATGCCAGCCACTTCCTGCATGCCTGAGGAGGCCCCTGCCCACCCGGCAGCAGCTCCTGGTGCCTGCAGTTACTGTGCTTCCTTGGACCAGCACCCAAAACTCTCCCAGTATTGGCCCTTCTGGACAGCCTGGGGCTGGTTCTTGGACCCTGTCCCAATGGCAAAACTTCTGTTCTCCTTCCCTTCCCCAGGGAAGGGCTCAGCAGGGTGGTCTGCCCCAAATGTGCCTGTGCCAGGCTCCCTTCTACCCTCTCCCTGTGCTCCAGGTGGAGGATGGCTGCAGTGTCACCTTGCCATGGCACAGCCAGGAGACCAGGGCTCTGTGTGGCTGCAGGGGCAGGGCTGGGATGCAGGGCTGGGCACTGCCAGGGTCACTGGGGACAAGGGTGGGGATGTTCAGGTACTCTTGCCAAGGGTGTGCTCCAGCTTGCCACCACCACTGTGGTTTGAAGGGCTCCCATGCCACATCCCACAGCCCAGGCCTTGCCTGGCTCCCAGAGCCCAGCTTGCTCTGCCCTCCTCACCTCGCTTCCCGGGACACCAGCTCAGCAGAAATTCATTTTGCCTTGAGTCCAGCCAGGTCTTTTTTCTGTTTCAGTCTTGTTCGAACTGCCCAAAAGCACCAGGCAGCTGGATTGCCAGGAACACCAAAGGAAGCACCTGGAGCACCACAGGAAAGCCCTCCTCCACTATCACCCCCTTCCTTCTGCTGACACCAGGACCTTGGACACAGACCAGAGACCAAACCAGTGTGTGGTTCCTATGGGACAGCGGTACCTAACCCATGTTTTTTACACAGTGGGGAGCCCCCCAGTCCCTTGGGAAGGCCCCAGTGCCACCTGGCCCAGCCTTGCTGTCTGCCCCATCGGTTCAGCCAGGGACAGTCATGTCTTTGGAAGGGGCTGTCACCCTTCAGAGCACGTGGGCTGGCAGGGCTGTGCTGGATAGTGCTTTTCTCTTGGGGTCTGTCACTGGTGAAGAGGGTTAAGGCATGAATTCTTCCTTGATCGTCAGCGGAGATGAGGAGACGAGGTTGGGGGCATTGCTGCTGCAGAGGCCTCCGATGGGGCCCAGGGTGCTGACAGCTGGTGGGGTTGGTGTGGTGGTGCTGGTGGGCTGGCTCTGCTGCTGCAGCTTCTTCTTGTTCACCTTCCTCTCCTTCGCCCTCCGGTTCTGAAACCAGATTTTCACCTGCAGAAAGCAAAAGATGGCAACGAAGAGATGAGGATGGACGCGGGCAAGGATGACAACCTCCACTCCCCATGGGGCAGGGAGGGCATCCCAAAGTTCGGAAAGGAAGGGATGTCTGTGCAGCAAGGTGGGGCTCCTCTAACTGCTTGGGCTAAAGCCCTGGCCCTTCCCCCTCCCCGTGTCCAGCTGGGCAGGTTTCCCTGGGCTCTGCAGCACTGACCTGCCGCTCGGTCAGCCCCAGGGCCGCCGCCAGCTCGGCCTTGCGGCGGATGGTGATGTAGCGGCTGTAGTGGAACTCCTTCTCCAGCTCCAGGCGCTGGTGGTCCGTGTACACCACCCGGTACTTGTCTTTTGTCCTGGTCTTGCCTGGCAGAGAGAGCAGAGTGAGGGGTGAGCCAGCGGAGGAAGGAGGGGAGCAGTGGAATGGAAGGAGCATTCCCGAGGGCACGGAGGAGACACACAACCTGTGGAGAGCTCAGGAGAAACATGGCAATGCCCTGGGGACCAGTGGGAGAGTCAGGAGGCTCCTACTGGCTTTAACATCCTTCCTGTTTCGCACCAGAGTGTTGCTTCTTGTTGGGAAGTACCTGGGCTTTTTGGAATTGCTTGGAGGAAAGAGCAGGAGGGATTCAGAGGCGCCCCAGAGGATGGACCATAAATCCCCATGTCATGACACATGGGCCCTTGAGGAGCAGAGCTGCAGGTCCTGTGCTGGGCTGAGGACAGGCAGCCTGGCAGGGCTAAGGAAAGCCCAGCTCTTCTTCTAAGAAGCCCCAAACCAAGGTGCCATCACTTGAATGTGCATGGATCAGAAGAGGGGAAGGACAGAAAACCCTGCAAGGACCACATTTCTCTGCCACCCTGAGGGTTACTCTCCTTCTCCCTGCACTGAGCTAAGACAGAGGGCAGTGCTTTATGTGCAGTCTTTAAAGATGCCCACATGATGCCTAAGCACCCCTGGGACCTGGCTCCATGGGCCAGGGGTGCTTGGCCAAAGCCAGTCTGAATCTCTCCTTGGTCCCCCAGGTATGGACAGAGCTTGGGGCCATCAGGATCCACACAGATGCACATCCCATGGGTCTGCAAACAGCACCTGCTGCTTTCTAGCAGAAACACACAGTCAAAGGTAGCCCAGCTGTCTCTTCCCGAGTTCCTTTGTTATTCCACAGGCACACAGGGTGAGCTGTGGAACTCTGAGGGAGGACACCCATGCCTGGCAGTTTGCTGACAAGTTCCTGGTGTTTTCCTCTGTAGAAGAGCCCATAGGCAGGGAATAAACACAGCTGTGAATATTTGCTTCTCCACCCAAAATTACAAAATCCTGTTCCAGGGAATTGAGAGGGATGATGCCTGGCCATTTGTTTGCCTGGCAGATGTGTTTGCCCATCTTCTTCTGAATTTCTGATGCTGACAGCAGTGCTGCTGTGAGAAGGAGTGGGAGCAAGCTCAGAACAGCTCCATGGATTTCCCTGGGGCTGCCCTGGTTGTATCAACATGGACAACATACTGCTCACCACTGCTGCAGGTGTGCAGAAAGGGATTTCTAGTGACCCAGCAACCTACATAACCGGGCTTGCAGCCTGGTTCTGCCAGGAAATGGGATCTTTGTGTGCCTGCCATCCTGTTCATCTGTTCTCCCTAATGAGTCTTTTCACATCCACCCATTTAGCCCAAATCACTTGGACACTGGGCAGACTCTTATATTCTGACACCATCTGAGTGGAAGCAGGAGTTTAGGTAGTGCAGAGGAAAACTGGGCTCTAGAAACCTTAATAAGACATCAGAGAACATCCACAGAGCAAAACCCCAACCTCCAGGCTGCAAATCTGTTTGTCAACCAGCTCAGTTTTATTTTTGACAGTGTCTCTCTCCTGCTCTCCCATTGCAAGGAGGTGGAGACATTCCTAAGCCATGCCTTGTGCTGAAACCTAAATGTAAAGACAGGATGACCCATGGCCACAGAGTGCTGCAGGTGGGAGAGCATCACGTGGGATGGAAGAAAGCAGCTGGTTTTCTACTGAATAAGCAGGAGCCACAAGAATCCAGCTCATGGCACTGAGCAAACCAAGAGTGGGAGCACGAGTGGGAGCCAGCAGGACCTGGGATGGGCATGGAAGGCATCTCTCCCTGCTAGGACTGATGCTGGCCCTCCTGGGCACACAAGCAGCAGTCTCTCAGTTGGAGTTAGCAGCCAGCTTCCATGACACTGTCTGTGTCCTCCTGCATTGCTCCTGGTGGTGCTGGCACGGGCTCAGCACAGCATGAGCAGGGTGAAGGCTGAGGGTCCCAGCACAGTCCCCAGCAAGCATTGATGCTCTCCAGTGATCCATGGAAGAGGGAAGGAGCCCAGCAAGTCTGCAGGAATAGAACCAGATTTCCAGCACCAGGACAGGACTTCAGCCACTAACTCGTGTTTGAGGGATGTGATGAATTCAGCAAATGTTTCAGCTCATCCCAGGGCTGGTCAGAAGCAAACACCTAATCCCTCCTCACCACCATCAGGTCAAATCTGTGCATACCACACAGGGTGACTGTGGGTTAAAAAAGGCTAAAAAAGGTTAAATTGATTGAGCAAGGTGTTTGTGGAGTGTCTGCAGAGACAGGGCAGAAATGCAGATATTCCACGTGCAAGGGGTGATGGCAGCTTTGCCAGGCACTTGTCTCCTGCCTGGCACACATCAGCTGTGGCAGCTCCAAACAAAACTGCCCATGGGAGTCCTGCAGGGCTGCAGTGATGCCAGGGGCACCCAGCCCATGCAGGATCCCACCCTGCCCTTACCCTCCCACGGGGCCCCTGTCCATCCCAGGGGTCACTGCTGCCTCTCACCACCCTCCGGGAGAAGGCTTCACCAGCATCAAAAGAACTTCTGCAGCCCAGCCCAGGAGGGACCTGTGCTGAATCTGCAACCACAGCAATTCCCAAGAAGTTGCAGAATAAACCAGATGCTCTGGTGGAGATTTATGTGAGGTTTAGCAGCTCCGTGAGAAACTGGGCTCCCTCTGGCTGCTCCAGGCTCAGGGAATCCTGCAAGATTTTTCTGTCTCATAGATTTATCTTCTTTTTATTTTTTTTTTTTACATTTGAAAGCAAAATCCTCTCTAAAGAGATAATAACTTTAAAATGATCTTACTTGCAATGTTTTTATTTGAATACCACTGTTTGGAAAAAAGGAACACCTGGAAAGTGAAGGAGTTGACAGATAGAGTAAAAAAAAAAAAAGACTAAAGAAATAAGGCGGTTTGTGAATATCACATATGCCATGAATTTCAGTAGGAATTATTATTTCCTGCTGCAGCTGTAAATAGATCCATCACAGCCTGTTCTTTGTTATTCCTTCTTCATCCTTCATCCTGGATGGAGGCTGGGCTCTGCCTCAGGGCTGGCAGAGCCATCACGGGGTGAGCTGGGCACCAGGATCAATATCAGTATCAATATCATCACTCGCTGCTCAATATCAGGTAGAAAAACCTCAAAACAGGGGGCTGACAACCAAGGCAGAGATGGAAAGTTATTCACCTCCACTAATTGCTGTTTTCGGATGTTTGCTGAATTCAGGGATGTACTGTGGGTGATTCACAAGGAAAAGAAAAGGATTTGCAAGAAATACTATTGACAATGAATAATTCAACTACCTTGAATATGAATGCTGGGTTACACTTAACTCTCTCCTGGAGACTTTTTTATGGCTCTGTGAAAAGAAAGAGGAAATTCGGGACCAGCCAATGCGGTTCCTTTTGGGGAGCCCTCGTGCCTGTGGCCAAACAGAGGGAGGGAACTGCTCCTGCACCTCCAGTCAAGCCTGGCAAAGCTGAGACAGGCTGTCCCACGGCTGGGATAACCTGGAGCTGGGGCTGCTGCCCCTGGAGGGAGCGTGGATGGGGTGCACTGGGGTGCCAGTGATGTCTCTCAGCACAGCTGGCAGCCCCTTCCAACCCTGCTATGCATTTACAGCCTCTTGTCCCTGAAAGACCAGGCAAAGGAGCTGCTGGGACAGGCAAACGGAGCCAGCCGTGGGGCCAGTGGGAATGGTTTGGGCTTTGGGATCAAGGCAGGGCCAATGACAGCGTGGGGAGAGGGTATCGTTACCACTGTTAATGTGTAACCCTAATAGCACTCACCTGAGCCGTGATTAGATAAGGGAATCGCTTTAATGTGCTGTGCAAAGCCCAGGGGACGCGCTCCCGAGCACACACAGGGGGATGGAGCCCTGGCCCAGCCTGCATTCCCTGCCCACAGCAGCCCCAAGACAGGGATCCAAGCTCCTGCTGGGCTGGATCAGGAGCCTGGCAGGGTAAGGGAAAATCAGAGTGGATTCTGCGCCCACCAGCCCAAGCTCTCTCCTCTCACAGCCACACTGGAGGCTGCCAGGAAGGGGATATTCCATCTCCAGTCCTGGCCTGCCCAAAGGGTGCTCTCCTCTCGCAGCCACACTGGAGGCTGCCAGGAAGGGGATATTCCACCATCTCCAGTCCTGACCTGCCCAAAGGATAGCTTTGAGTAAAAAACTGTGCCTCAAAAGCCCTACCAGACTGAGAATATGGGCGCTGTGAGACTGGTGCTGAGCAGCTCTAAGAACAGCTGGGAAGGGGCTGGCTCAAGCCAGGCAGGAAAGAGACTGGGGTGGCAGTGGCACCCTGCATGGAGGTGGAGCAAAAGCTGGCATGTTGTGAGGGGATCAGCCCAGCTTCAAAGGGAGGATCCCATCCGTGGGACACATTTCTCCCAGCCACAGCAGGAGCAGCACAGCTGCCAGCAGCCAGGAGCATAAACTGCAGCACTTTTAGAAAAGTCTCTATTTCACAGGTCAAAGCAGCTCAAAATGACCACAACCACAAACTCTGGCTCTGTGGGGAGCTGCTGTGCAGGGCTCTGGTCAGCTGGGCTGTGGCAGCCCCAGGCCACTGGCTGGAGCCACTGAGGTGAGAACCTCCAGGAGTGACAGAGCTGTTGCACCCCACAGCAGAGGTCCCCAAGGCCTGGGGACACACTAGGTGTTTCTTTGCAGAGGAGGTGCTGGCAGGGGGATGGAGGCATTGCTGCCAGGCTGCCTCAGCAGCTCTCCTGCCTTGCTCTGGGCTGGCTCCTTGTGCTCCCAGAGCCATCCTGCCTGATCCCATCTTCCTGGCCATGCTCTGGCCCCAACTGCTCCATCTGTACAGCCTTGTCTGCCCATCTGTCTGCACTGGGGGCCTGCTCCCACACTATCTGATGGCATTGCAATATTATAATGCTGAAAAGCATCAGGTGTAAAAGTCCTGTCCCACAGAGCAGCTGGGAAAGGACTGCTCCATACCAGAGGTAAAGTGCAGCAAACAGGACACAAGGCTGTCCCCTCCAGGTGGGTGCTTCCTCTCCATGATAAAGC